GGAATCATTTGGACACACACACAAAGCAAACAAAAATCCAAGCCTAAGAAAGCAACACAATTCTGGGTTACTCTCCTCTGATGTTTGATAGAGACTAGTTCTGGTTTTCTGCTCCGTGGCAGAGAACCAGACAAGGGACAATTAGATTCTATAATTAATCAAATCCATCCTTCCAGTGGTACTACCATTAATGAGGGGGATGCAAAAATGGCCATGTCCAAGGCAGAAACAGTCCTGATCAAGAGCTGAAGAGAGAGTGAGCCAGGTCCACAGCTTAGAGACGGTAGCTGAGTGCCTGTGAACACTGTTGAGTGGCAAGGGGGAACGCAGTGCATCTTGGGAAAACCCAGTACATCTTGGGAGAATCTCAGTCATGAAAGGAAGCATGTGTGGAGGAAAAGTAGGGGTCTGCCAAGTCTAGAAAACACCACATGATTTAGAGAGAAAAATAAAAACATTTTCTGTTGCCGCTCATGTGGGAAAGTGGCAATTGTCTCACACAGTCAGCACATGCATACAGTGGTCCCATTTCTACAGATTCCATGATTCAGGATGCCAGGTATGAAGTTGCTTCAGGAGACAGTAAATTATAAGAAAGGACTCAGAGGTAGGTTTTTTTAAAAATCTATTTGTGGAACTGAGTGCCAGACTGGGTGATGCTACATTTGTTGGTTTGTTTATTTGGGGTGCTTTGGTTTTCTTTTGCTGGCTCTTTATGATGTGTGTGTGTGTGTGTGTGTGTGTGTGTGTGTGTGTGTGTGTCTGTGTGTGTGTGTGTGTCTGTGTGTGTGTATAATGACAACAGTAGGGAATGCTGCAGACTTCTCTTCAAGTCTGATGACAGTAATGGCGATAAAAATGATGGCAGTCAATCCTTCTTAAAAAGCTCTTCTGAGCCTGATTATCCCAAAGGTGCTTGAATGTACAGGGCATCTGTAAGCCCATACACAGCATGAGTTTGTGTTTCTTCCTAAGAAATATTGAAATTGAGAGATAACTTAGGGAAGAATCACCTCAGGAATTGTCACTAAATCTGCATTGTTTTTGTTACAGAGCACAAGGTAGCTGAGGGCATTCAGTAGTGTGTGAACACTCGAGAAATAAAAGGGTACTACTATAACAGTTATTGTCATACATGTAATAATATGAATGTAACAGTTATTGGATTTAATGAGTCCATCATTTCATTTAAACACTGAATACATCCTCTCTTTGTTAATTATGCAGAAATAATCTTATCTTAAATATAAGTTAAGATATTACAAACTAACTGGAAAATACTTTATGAATGCCCTGAGGTAAAGTCATTTAATCCTTACACTTCTTACAGGCTTGATTATTATCCCCATTTTAGAGATGAGAAAGGCAAGGTTACTTAGCCAAGGTTACCAACTAGGAGGTGACAGAATCAGGATCCAAGGACAGTACACAGGAGCTGCAGTCAGGAGGTGGGTGGGAATGTATGTGGTTGGAGAAGCTCAGTGGGGTGGAGGTGCTAGACAAGAATGTAGAGAGAGTCTTTGGGGCTCCCAGGATGGGGGCAAGCTTGGGCCATATGCAAAGAGCAGTCCAGGGACACCAGTTTCTGTTCAGCTTCCCTGTGCTGGAAGAGCACAAGGACCACCTTGGACCTGGGAGAGCTTCCTGTCACCACAGATGTGGGAGCCAGGGCTGAATGGAGTCAGGGCTGGATGGTCCTGTAGTGGGAAGCAGATTCTGGTGGGAGAACTGAAAGCACAAGTCCCATTTGAAGTTCAAAGACTAAAGAGGAGAGCAGTTGTGGCCACTGGGGACAAGCAGCCTGCCCCTTCATTCATCCAAGGACTCCTTGAAGCCCTTTCTGAGCCAGCCAAGTCCTGACCCAGAGGGATCCCACAGCGAGGGGAGGATGGAAGTGTACAGCCCATGAGTAGAGAAGGATGAAGCAGAGAGTCAGAAGGAGGAGGCACTTCTGGCAGTGGGAACAGCATGAGCAAAGGCTCAAGAGACGAGCTTGGGCCAGGACAGCAAGATGCCTGGCTGGACAAGTGCTGACCCAGGAGTAACCTTTAGAAACCAGGAGCGGAATGGAAAGGGGGTTGGGGCTCTTCTGAGTGACAGTAGTGGTTGCCTAGCAGAGGCCCACCCCTGAGCTGCTGCTGTGGCTGAAGTCAGGGGGACACTGAGTCAGAGAACCTTTAGTGGAGGCCAGGTGGATGAGAGGAGGCTGGAGGGCCAGTTCTGTAGACAAGATGGTCCCCAGGAAGGTGAGATCTTTACAGAACTGTCAGCCAAGCTGGGCACTGGTGGCTCACGCCTGTAATCCTAGCTACTCAGGAGGCTGAGATCTGAGGATCACGGTTCAAAGCCAGCCCAGGCAGGAAAGACTGTGAGACTCCTATCTCAAATAAACCACCAGAAAACCGGAAGTGGCGCTGTAGCTCAAGTGGTAGGGCGCTCACCTTGAGCTGAAGAGCTGAGGGACAGCACCCAGGCCCAGAGTTCAAGCCTTACTACCGACCAAAAAAAAACCAAAACAAAAGAACTGTTAGCCAACCACTCAGTCCACAAATGTTCATGAAATACCGTCTTAGCAACTTCTGGTTATGTAGAGCTTATTTCTGTCATCAGTGACTGGGGCAAACTCACTTTCCTTCATGTAGTCTGAAGTTATTTATGAGGCCTGACTGGGCTAAGCCTGAGCCAGGACCTGGGAAATAGTCTTGAATGAGATCAAAGGACATCTTGCTCTCATGGAGGCAGTGAAGTCAACAGTGACCAGAGACTAACAGAATAAGTACCATTAGTGAGCCTGCTGGGCACAATGCGGGAAGGGTAGAGTCTGCAGGGGTCTGACCCGGCCTGGCAGGATCAGGGAGGGCTGTCTAGGGAAGGGGATTTTGTACTGAGAATGGCTGGCTCAGCCAGGTATTCAGTGTGTCTGGTGGTGGGGCAACAGCCTAGAGAAAGGGCTAGAGGGGAGGAGGGCTCAGGATGCCAGATTTGCTGATGGGAGGCCAGGAAGGCTGGGCTCCAGGCAGAGGAAGCCTCTGGGAGGGTGTCACAGGGTTTCAGACAAAAGCATGTGTTCTGTGGACCCTCAGTCCTCCTGCTGCCTGCTTCCAACTATATGACCCCCACATTCTGGAGAGGGCAAGAATGGGCTGAAATGGAAGGGAAGCTGGCATCAGCAGGAGCTGGGTCATGGCACCTTCAGGCTCTTCATTGTAGACTTCAAGCAGGGCCCTGGGAGGATGTCCCATACACGTGAGCCCCAGATGCATGCAGGTAGATAGGGGATGTGGGGACTAGCTTGGCTTCAGGTGGAAGGCATCAGTACATTGTGGACCAGTCCTGGGGCTTGCCCCTGCCCCTGCCTTGGGTGTAGAGTCGTCTAGAAGAGAAGACTAAGAACGGTGGGCCGGATGGGCTCTGGGAGCGGCACTGTGAAGAGGGCTTGGGATGCCTTGGGGGCCTGGGGATGTGAGAGGGGCCAGTTAGCACAGAGGAAGCTCTTCAGCCCTTGATCTTTGATGACCAGGAAGGATGAGCTGGTGTCAGGCGGCAGGCAGAGGAGTAGGGTGCAGTCAAAGCAGACTGTGGGGGAGAATCCCTAGATGTGGTTGCAGACAGAAATCGCTGTCTGACAGGCCAGGTGGGGTGCTCAAGAGCAAGGAAGTGAGACCAGCACGTCTGATGAAGGCCTAGGACAACACACTGAGGAATCTGACTGTCCATGTTTATCACAGCTGGAATCCCAGGGTCCCTGTATAAAGCATTGAGCCTAGCTGAGGAGCCTTAGTTTCTTGAGTGAATTATTATTAGTTGGTGGATAGAGTAAACCTGGTCTAGGTGAGATGCTGGGTATAGGTAGAAAAGAGGACATGATTGGTCAATTCTGGATGCTCATCAGCATCCTAGGCAAATGATTCAGGCCCAGCTGGCATTTTGTTGACCACTCCATACTCCAGATTTGCCAGGACTGGTGACTCGGGACAGGTTGGGGACTAGCCCCAAAGGTCTAAGTATGCCACAGAGACTTCATCAGTCCATCCTGAGCTACTAGACAAGCACAAACTGTCATCTGCCTTTCGGTTGTTGCTACTATGTCACCTTCTCCATGAGGTCTGCCATCATACTCCTGGCACTCACGGTCTCCCTTCCCACACTTCTGCCTTCTACTTGTGGCTTCCTTTCTTACTTCATGCCGATGGTTTATTTTATCAGGCAGTAGTTTTTGTCTGTTTTGCTCACTGATGAATTCCAAGTACTTAGCACAGTGCCTAGCACAGAGGTACCTGATGGAATAAATGCTGACAGAATGAACAACACTGGTAAATGTTTATTGATGCTGATGCTGACTATGTGAACACCAGGTTTAGCCCCTTAGGTGTATTTTCCAGTGCAGTCTTCACAATTCGGGTAAGATACCCATTTTTTCAGATGAGGAAATTGAGGCTTGTTGATTTGCCCAGAGCCACTCACATATTGTGGATCCAGGATGAGAACCCAGGAGTGGGGGCACAAGGGTTGCTCCCATCAAGAACACAGAGGGGATGAGCCTGAGGAGCACACTGTCCTACCATCTCTAAGTCCCTGGGATAATCACATTCCCATCATGCACAGGGCCTGACACCGAGAGATGGGAAATAGGAGTCAGCCAGGTCAGGGGAGCCATCTCCTGTGGGAGGAGATGAGGGGCCTGCCTGGTGGGGTTTTAGAAGGGGGGACAGAGTACACTCCTGCAAGCCCTGTGGTCAGGCCTAGGCATGGGTGTTTGAGTGGGCCCTGGTGGGAGTTGGGTGCAATGGTGAGGAGAAGGAAGGCTCTGTTCAAATTGGCAGAGGAAGGCAGAGAAGGAGGGAGTGGCCTTTGAGGAGCTCTTGCTTGGAGCTCACTCTCAGCCTGCTGGGGGCTCTGGGTAGAATGGGGATGGGAAGAATTGGGGCACCAAGGGCCTGGGGCTTGGAGCACTTGGAGGGGTGTGTGTCAGGAACCTCCTCACTGGGCTGCCATTGCAGAATCCACACAGGAGACAGACCCTACAAGTGCCCACATCCTGGCTGCGAAAAGGCTTTCACTCAGCTCTCCAACCTCCAGGTGAGTACCTGCCTGCCTCCCTGCCCCCCACACCTGGGAGCACAAGAAAGGGGTGTGGCTGAGGGAGCCCCGCGCCTCACAGCCCCCCGCTGTGCCCTCCACAGTCTCACCAGCGCCAGCACAACAAGGACAAGCCCTACAAGTGTCCCAACTGCTACCGGGCCTACTCAGACTCAGCTTCCCTGCAGATCCACCTCTCAGCCCATGCCATCAAGCACGCCAAGGCCTACTGCTGCAGCATGTGTGGGCGGGCGTACACCTCGGTGAGTATGCAGCCAGATCCCCTGACTCCCTGCTTTCTAAGAGAGAAACTGAGGCCCTGAGAGGGAAATGATTCCCCTTGATCACAGGGGTGGCAGAGCCAAGGCTTCTGCTCACCGCTTCCCTGTTTGGCTGGCCCAAGCCAAGTTCCCAAACTCCTGCTCACCTTAGCCTGGACTCCTGAGGCCCTGGAGTCCTCAAAGCAGTAGGAGACTGCAAGCAACAGAGAGGAGGGTCTTCCTGCTGTAGGGAAGCTGTAGTTTCCATTGTGGCCACAAGGGGGCACCGTGACATGGCCCAGAGACACCCCCCCTCCTCTAAGGGAAGGTTGGAACTGCACCAGGGATGATAGATCATACTCCAGCCCTTGTCCCCAGGTAGGAAAAATTTCAAAATGAGGGCATTTGTGCACACAGGTGAGTTATCTGTGTGTATGCCTCTGGTTTCTTGGAATATTCTGGTTAATAGGTCCTCATATAACCAGCAGATCCTCCTGTATTTCAGTTTTCTCACGGGTCACATTGATTAATGCACATGATGGGTGGGGCAGAGGTGCTGGCTAGGCCGTGGCTGTGCAGCGACTTACTCCTTTTTGTCATAGGGTGCCATCTTGTGTTAGGATGATAAGTACCATCCACCGCCTTTAGCCACTAGGTGCCAAGCAGCATCCTTCTCCCCATCCTGTGACAACCAGAATGTCTCTAAATATTTCCAGATATCCCTGAGGCAGCAAAACTCTGAACGTCACGCTCTAATGGGGAAAAAATGTTTTTAGAAACAACAGGAAAGACAAAGTGGAATTGGGGAGCGTCTAGATAAGACCACCCAAGAAAGAGACATGTGGTAGTCAACTTTCTTTTACTATGAGAAAATACTTGGGATAATCAACTTAAAAAGAGGAAAAGGGGCTGGGATGTAGCTCAGTGGCAAAGCGCTTGCCTAGCAAGTGCAACATCCTGGGTTCGATCCCCAGTACTAAAAAAGACAGTTTTAAAAAAAAAGAGGAAAGGTTTATTTTGGCTGACCATTTTAGAAATTTTTTTTTTTCCATTGACCCTGTTGCTTTGGGACTGGTGGTGAGGAGTACATGGTAGCTGGGTACAGGAGGTAGAGCGAGCTGCTCACCTCATGGTGTCTAGAAACAAAGAAAGGAAGCAGAAGCTGGGGGTCTCAGTGTCTCCTTCAAAGGCTTATTTACCCCTTAGTGGCCCAACTTCACTCAACAGGGCCTCTGAAGGTTCCATGGCATGGCATAGAGGGGCCTAGCTTTCAGCACATGTCTCTGAAAACCGTTCTAGACTCCAACCAGAGCAGGGCAGGTTGAGGAGAAAGAGGGACAGGGATCTGTCATGCAAGAGCAGTGAATGAGGTGGAACAAACCAACACGGTATGTAGCAGGAACCGAGAGCAAATTAGATGTGTGAGCCCAGGGGCCCTGTTAGGGAGGCTGGGTGTGTTTCCAGGTGGAAAAGGAAGCCGGGGGAGGTGATGTCAGGAGAGTGTTGAAAGGTTTCTTGCTAGCAGGAGAGGAGTGTGGGTCATAGCAGGGGCACCCACCATGTTGACACACGCTAGCCAGGACTGTCATTTCTATAGTGCTAAGTGTGTCACACCCTTCCCTAGAGTTTGAGGGGCAGGAGAGACAGAAGACACACCTGCAAGGCGAGAGCCCCAAGTTGTGGGGAAAGCCCCTAAGGGGGTGGGAAATCCCTACTTGGTCCTGCCTCAGCCCTGTACGCCAGTTCACCATCAACCAGCCCTTCCTGTCTGGATGTCTATTGTTTGAAGTAAAACCCAGACTTAGCAATATTTCATTTGTAAAAACTTTGTCTTTAATGAACTCTTTGCTTTTCTTTCTTTCTTTTTTTTTTTTTGGTGGTCATGGGGCTTGGGCACTGTCCCTGTGCTCTTCTGCTCAAGGCTAGTGGTCTACCACTTTGAGCCACAGTGCTACTTACGGTTTTCTGGTGGTTAATTGGAGATCAGAGTCTCACGGACTTTCCTGCCCAGGCTGGCTTTAAACCATGATCCTCAGAACTCAGCCTCCTGAGTAGCTAGAACTACAGGCATGAGCCACAAGCCCCTGGCTCTTTGTTTTTCTTTTCTTTCTTTTTAAAAAACATATAGACAATATCTTTATAATTATTAATTATTTTAAAATAATTATTAATAATTTAATTAAAATATTTAACCAGAGTCTATTACCATCAAATGACCAATCAGCGCAGATATTGTCATTTGTCTCTTGAATGCTATATTTTGTTTTTTTTGTTTTTTTTTGGGGGGGTCCGGTCGTGGGCCTGGGCACTGTCCCTCAGCTCTTCAGCTCAAGGCTAGCACTCTACCACTTGAGCCATAGCACCATTTCCGGCTTTTTGCTTATGTGGTGCTGGAGAATCAAACCCAGGGCCTCAGGCATGCAAGGCAAGCGCTCTACCACTGAGCCACCTTCCTAGCCCCTTGTTTTTGTTTTTTGTTGGTCATGGGGCTTGAACTCTGGGCTCTTGAACTCTTGAGCTCTTCAGCTCAATGAACGTTCTACCACTTGAGCCACAGTGCTACTTCTGAATGCCATATTTTGTTACAGTATCATTTCTTTATCAAGATCTATACTTTCTTTTATGTGTGTGTGTTGGTACTGGGGCTTGAACTCCCAGGGACTGGGTGCTGTCCCTAACCTTTTTTGCTCAAGGCTGGTACTCTATTACTTGAGACACGGCTTCACTTCTAGCTTTTGTTGGTAGTTAATTGGAGATAAGAGTCTCACAGACTTTGCTGCCTGAGCTGGCTTCAAACCAAGATCCTGAGGTCTCAGCTTCCTGAACAGCTAGCATTACAGCTGTGAGCCACTGGTGCCTGGCACCATGCGTCTTTATCATATGCTGGGACACTGCTGCTAAGTACTGCTGGCATCATATATAGCACTCTGCCACATGTGAGGGCTGCCTCCGCCAACTGGGAGCATATCAAGTATGAGGCTCAGGAATGGCCTCCAGAGACCCTGAGCACCCCTTCGTTCCTGGGCAAGGCCGGTGGAGGGCAGCTTAGCAGGAGTCACCTCCTTGCCCACTAAGAGTGCTGCCTTAGGGGACTGGACCAAGGGAGGGCGGGCAAAGGCCCGAATTTCCTCCACCACCTGGGATAAAATATAGGGACTGGTGAAGGAGAGGTCTCCTCAGCCCTCACGGCATGCTCAGGGCTTTATCCACATCACCATAGCAACCCCTCCCCATCCCTAGTAACAGAAGGAAACAGGTTGAGGGAGTTGAGATGACTGAGGAAGGTCCTACTACTAAGAAGTGGCAGAACTAAATGGGCGCTGGTGGCTCACACCTGTAATCCTAGCTACTCAGGAGGCTGAGACCTGAGGATCGCGGTTCAAAGCCAGCCCAGGCAGGAAAGTCCATGAGACTCTTATCTCCAATTAACCACCAAAAAAAATGAAGTGGCGCTGTGGCTCAAGTGGTAGAGTGCCTGCCTTGAGCAGAGGTATGCAGGGACAGTGCTCAAGCCTTACCCTCACTGGGAACTTGAGCCAGGTATAGGGAGCTCTGCTCTCCCAGCAGGCAGACAAGTCAGCCAGTATACCTCAACTCCCAGAGCACTTGGCCAAAGGGCTGCCCTGCCTGCTGAGGGAAACTTGGTGCCCGTTAATTCCCCAGCCAGCACTCTGCATGCTCAGGCTTCAAGAAAGCCACCAGCACTCACCCTGGCTGGAGTGCTGGGCTTGCCACCACCAGCTGGCCTACCAGTAAAGATGCCCTCTAGGGGCCGCTCTGGGAACTGAAGTTCACAATGATGACAGGCTCTGTGTCTCACCCCCCCCCCCCCCCTCAGGAGACCTACCTGATGAAGCACATGTCCAAACACACGGTGGTGGAGCACTTGGTGAGCCATCATTCACCCCAGAGGACGGAGTCCCCCGGTATCCCGGTGCGAATCTCCCTCATCTGAGCCACTGTTGGCACCGCCCAGCCCGGCACTGCCCGGCCCACTGGCAGACACAGACCCAGGCAGCACCAGGCCCTGACTTCCACAGGGGCCCACTAGGAACTGCCCAGCTCTCTTGCGACCTTCCCAACCCGCCGAAGGCTTGGTCTGCAGAATTCCTGCGTGGTCCAGCTCCCGGGCAGCCAGGCCAACTGCAAGACTCTGGACTGTTTTGGTGGCATCCAAAGAGGATCTCAGAGCACTTTGAACCTGTCTGTTGGTTTCTTTTTGTTTCCCCACCCTTCACTTGCTTCACTGTTTTTTTTTTAAGGTTTTTTTTTTAATAACAAAAAAAAGATATTTATTGGCCAGGACGTTGGTGCTGCTAAGACCTAGAAATTAAATGAATCGGACAGACGGATGCAGAGAACCAGAGGGCAGCGTGGAACCTTCTCTGGCCATGGCCTCGGGCCTAGAGAAGAGGCTCAGGCCTGGGGTTCTGGACTTTAAAGGGGACCACCCAGGTGGGAGGGGGCAGGAGGCGGCTGGAGTGAGCCCTTCAGCCCTGGGTCCCCAGTTTGAATCTTCCGAAGCTATGCCTGGGCTTCACGGAGCAGAAGATATGGCTGCTGCCAGGGCTGCCCAGGCTGCAGGAGGTGGAGAGAGGAGAGGAGAGGGGCCAGGAGATCTGCAGGACCAAAGGGTGCAGTGATGGGCAGGTGGCGGGCCCAGGGAAATGGGGTAGTGGCCTGTAAGACCTGGCCCTCCCCTGCTGCCCTGAAGATCACCCCAGTCTACCTCGGTGCTGGCCAGGAAACCAATCGGCTACCTCTCCCGCCACCCCAGACTGTGGGCAGGGGCATGGGGAGGAACTGGAGCTTGGGACTTGACCCCCTTCCAGAATTTCCTCCAGATGGGGACAGGGCCCAGGGAAGGGGGTGTGGGAGGGGGATCCCAGCCCAGGCCCAAGCCCCTCAGCAGGGAAGGGGTCTTTGGAGAGGGTTCCAGCCCAGGAGCAGACCCTGCCCCGCACCCCCCACAGACACACCCCAATCTGAAAGCCATGCGTGTCCGTGTATATAGGAACCATGTACAGAGCCCGGAGAAGCCCCTCCATATCCCCCCGGGAAAAAAAAAAAAGAAAGCTAGACAGAAACTCATCTATATATTCTGTATCTGGAGTTCCGTTTTGAATATTAACCGTGTTATTTTTATACACTTTTTAAGCCTTAACTCGCCATTGATTCACCAGTTTAACGCTTCCTGGGGTTTCTTTTCCGAGGGGGTCTCTCCTCTGCCCCCCCACCCCTGTCCCTTTGTTTGACTTACGTCGTCTGATAGTCAGTATTGTAGCTTTTTGTCCGCATGTTACTACCCTGTAAATATGCTGTTATAATACTGTTAACACCCCTTTGCTTTTTTTCTATGGGACCTCCAGGCCACCGTATTTAGAACTAGATACCTTATTAAAAAAGAGAAAACCATTTGCTGGCTACTCGGTTTGCATCTTGGTGGCAGGGAGGCAAGGCCAGGTGCCCCTCAGACACTTCAGGAGAGATGTTTGCATTCTATTTAAAAATGGGAGTGGGGAGCCAGACAAAACTCAAATGTGGGGGAAGAAGACTAGGGGACAAGAAACAAGGATTCCAGCCCTCTGCTCTTTGTATTCTCTGTTGTGAAGAATAAACTGTACCTGCACCTGGGTGGCGGTGGTGGTGTGTGGTGTGCTGTGTGGCAAGAGTGGGGTGGGGCACCTTTCCCTTGAGAAGGAAAAAGAGATGGTGGCTTGCTGTGGGCCAAGTCCTTTGCAGAATGCCTCAAGGCCCTGTGGAAGGAGGTAGCAAGCTAAGACTGCTTGCTCAGGACCATGCACTTACCAGGTCTTCATCTCCCGAAGACTTTGCAGTTGTGCTGAGTCCACCAGTGAGTCTCACTTCCCCTTTCCTCAGGAGCACCCCATCCTCTAGGGGGCTGTTGGTAGTACTTGATTTGTGGAAGCTCTTCTAGTGTAGAAGATGGGGCTCAAGAAATTGTACTCTGTGTGTGTTGGGCGGTGTCAATGTACCAGTTGTTCAAGGAGGTAATGCAGGAGTTAGTTCTTCCTCCCTCCCCAGTTTATCCAGGGCATGGGCCTGTGTAAACACGATGTGGAGGACGGAACTAGCCCAGCCACAACTCACTGTGCAGTTTATCGCTGGGGACTTCGATCCCTCAAAGTATTTGTGTGTCAAAGCTTCCCTGAAAGTGATAGGGAAGTCTAATTTAATGAGAGTTTATTGAGTTATGCAATGGGACAGTGGTGGAGCTCCTTTTGAGAGGAGTCAAAAGCTGTGACTCTTATCTCTCCATTTGGCTCTGTTGTGAGTCAGCATTTCAGACACCTGTGGGGTTATCTCTGGCCTCAGCTCCGAGGTTTCCAGCAGCCATCTAGTCCTTCAGCAAAAGCCTCATGGGGTCTTCCTAGTTCTGCATACTAGAACAGTAGAGCAAAGCCCTCATCTGAAGCATGCCTCCCTCATGTAACCAGAGATACATGTCAGACTTTTTTGTTGTAACAATACTTGAGAGGAATTGTTTAAAAGAAACTATTTAAATCATGGTTTGGGTTCACAATTTTGGAAGGTTCAATCCATGGTCCCTTGGTCTTGTCACACCTGGGCCTGAGGTGAGCCTGGATGTCAAGGTGGTGAGTATATGGTGGAGGCTGCTTACCTCCTGACAGATAAGAAGACAGGGTATGCCCTTCAAAGGCCCACCTCCAGTGACCTACTTTGTCCAGCTAGGCTCAACATTGTTACATTTCCACCAGCTCCCAAACAACCACCAACTGGGGAACTAACCTTCAACACAAGCCAGTAGGTAACATTTCATGTTCAAACCACACTGGCCCTCATTCCACTCTGGCTCCAGTCTATCTAAAGATGGAAAATGCATTCAAATTTAGCTCTTATGAGTCCCCAAAGCCTCAGTGGTTCCAATGTTATTCAAATGTTCATGCTCAGAGTCTCAATGGGGGTGGGGGGAGGACAGGAGACTAAACAGCGAGAAAGGATCACATCAAAGCTAGACTAAACCTCAGGATGGCACACATTAAGTCCTGTACCCATAGCACCTGCTGCACGTTCTGACTCCCAGGAAGGTCTGAAGCGCTTGAGCAGCACTTCATCTGTGACCTTACCCTGCAAGCCACATGTCTTCTCTCTTGGATTGGTTTTACGCCCTACACAGCTTTCCTTGGTAGAAGTGGCATGGTTCTTGGCATCTCCTAGCTTTCTAGGGTCTCTACTACATCTTGCCTGCAGCTTCACTATCACAGCCTCTCCCAGTGCTATACCAGGGGACTGTCTCCCAGACATTGCTTTGAAATCTGGGTGGGAGCCTCCATAGTCCCATGACGCGTGTGCTCTGAATACCTTCAAAACTAGCATCATGTGGGTAATAATAAGGTCTGTCCCAGCTGGAGCAGTTGCCAAGCCTCCTTGAACAGGGCTACAGTGGCCTCTGAGTGAGTGGATGGCTGAACTTTCCTAGATCTCTGTGAGCAGAGTACCCTGTAGTTCTCTCCGCCCTCTCCCTTTCTCCCTCCCCTTCCCCTCACCCCTCCTTCTCCTGGGACTTGTTCTCAGGGCTTGGGCTCTGTCCCTGAGTCTCTCTGTGCTCAAGGCTAGCACTCTACCACTTGAGCCATGGGGCACTTTAAGCTTTTTCTGAGTGGTTTACTGGAGATAAGTCACACCGATTTTATTGCCCAGGCCAGCTTTGAATCTCGATCCTCAGATCTCAGTCTCCTAAGTAGCTAGGATTATAGGCGTGAGCCACCAGTGTCCAGCTTGTAGCTTTCTTCTTAAAGCAATCTTTTAAGGAAATATGTACCTTCACACCTTTAAGCCTGTAATGCTGATTCTTCAGATGCTCTCAGGGCACATTTCCTAATCAGAGTGTGAAACATTTGGTTTATTATTTTTCCTCATTTTTGTTAGCATATATTAGTAGTAAAAAGGAAGTTTTCACTGTCTTTATTTCCATATATACATAGATGTACCCAATCAAAGTCCTCCATACCTTTCCCAAATTCCAGCCACAAACTTAATTCCAAAGGTTTTGGAACTACATGATCAGTGGTCACAGTCACAACCTTACTTCTGGTACCAATTTTCTGTGCTAGACTTTCACCTCTATGACAAATACCAAAAAGAGACAGCTTAAAGAAGAAAAGATTCATTTGGGGCTCACACTTTTAGAGGTTATGGTCCAATGGTTGGTTGGCTCCATTGCTTCTAGCCCTGTGGTGAGGCAGAACATAGAGGGAAGGTTATAGAGGAACAAAGTTGCTCAACTCACCACATTTGGGCAACAAAGAGCGGGAAGAGCTGAGGTCAAGTTGCCCCTTCAAACAGCACATCCCCCATGACCTACTTCTTCCACTAGGCCCCACTTCACCCTAACTCCCAATAATGCCACCAAAGTATGAACCCATCAGGGGGTTAACTTATGGATGGAATCAGTTTTCATGGTCTGGTCTCCTCTCAATGATTGGACCCACCAGCTAGAGGCCACTTTCTATTCAAACCATCACAGTGTGTTACCATTACAGTGGGGGAATGGAAGTGACTATAGTACCCTGATTTCCTCAACACCCCAACACTCAGTCGATTGCCACAGCGGCTGCCCTTCACTATACCAAGACAGTGAAGAACAGCAATAAAGTCAAATAGCTCAGGGTATTTGAAGGCAAGCTCCATGGGGGAGGGGTGCCACTTGCAGGTGGCCAGTGGTAGTTTCACAATTGGCAAAGAAGCAAGTTACAGAAGCAGAGCTAGCAGTTAGTGGGTACAAACTGGCAATTATAATTCCAGTCATTCCAATAACCATGGCCGTAAGTCACAAGGCAAAGTCCTTATCCCAAATCTTCCCATCAAAGAAGCAAGTTAGTGAAATAGCAATTACGTTCTCTATAAGCAGAGTAATAAGTCCTCAAAGCAAAAACCACATACAAAATTTCTTATCACACTCCAAAATCAAACCACCTTCTAGGTTTTCTGGCTGTTTCTGAGTTTCACTGTTATCTACTGAATTCCAGCAACCTGGTATTTAATTCACAATTACTTCAAGTGTTTATCTTTGGAATTTTTCCTTTTAATGACTGTCCTGGAGTTTTTCTCTACAGGGAGATCCTGCCTTTTTTTTTTTTTTTTGTCAGTCGTGGGGCTTGAACTCTGGGCCTGGGCGCTGTCCTTCAGCTCTTCAGCTCAAGGCGAGCGCTCTACCACTTGAGCTACAGCGCCATTTCCGGTTTTCTGGTGGTTTATTGGAGATAGGAGTCTCACGGTCTCTCCTGCCCGGGCTGGCTTTGAACCGCAATCCTCAGATCTCAGCCTCCTGAGTAGCTAGGATTACAGGCGTGAGCCACCCGCACCCGGCGAGATCCTGCCTTTCAAGTTTGATCCTATTCTTACTCATTTTCAAATTTTAGTAAATGCCAGGTCTTAGTTTGTTCCATTCCTAAGGTCTGTTCTTATGTTTCTCAGGTTACCTGGGACTTGTTTGTTCCAGTTAAAAATTTTCATTTTTCCTTGGTCTAATTAATACTCTATTTGCTTAACCTGGTTCTAACAGTGACAAGCACATAACCAGCATGTCTTTAGCAACTTCACAGGCCTTTTCTGTTTCTCTGAAGCTGATCTTTGGAACCTGCTATACCAGAAAGGAATGGAGTCTGGCAACCATATTTGTATCACATGACTCTATTCCAGTTCCAATTGATTGGCCAGAGATGGACACCTGACTCTGACTCCGTAGATGCAGCCAGTGGTAGGTAACAGCAATCCTGGCTTATGAAAATGGCAAATGCTATCAGTCAGAGATTTCCTTTCCCTTTCCTTCCCTCCCTCCCTCCTTTCCTCTCTCTCTGAAGAAGCAGTTACTATTTCTATATCTCTAAGGAGATAAAGCTGTCTCCTTAGATTTCTCCACTCTGTGAATCAGAAGCAAGTTAGCAGACAGTGAGCACTTGAACTGGTAGACTCTATAGATTTACCAATTAGTTGTGGGAAAGGGTGGCTGTGTTGAGCCAGACTTACACAGGCAGGAGAACAAAAGAGGCAGAAAAAGGCAGAAACAGATGAAGACTAGATAACCTCAGTTCCTGACTTCAGTTTACATCTTTTGGTCAAGTTTATTTTCCTGTTTGTTCTGACTTTAAGTTGCCAGTATAATATCAGAGTAGTTACTTAACCTCTTTGTGCCTGATTCTTCTTTTTCTTTTGTCAGTCATGGGGCTTGAACTCTGGGCCTGAGCGCTGTTCCTCAGCTCTTCAACTCAAGCTACCACTTGAGCCACAGTGCCACTTACGGTTTTCTGGTGGTGTATTGGAAATAAGAGTTTCACGGCGTTTCCTGCCTGGGCTGGCTTTGAACCGCGATCCTCAGATCTCAGCCTCCTGAGTAGCTAGGATTACAGGTGTGAGCTAGTGGGTGCCTGGCTTCTGATTCCTTCTTATGTAAAATGAGATAAATAACAGCAGCCAGTTTAAAGGTGGATGTGAATTAATACAAGTCAAATGTACACACTGCATGAGTATCCCCAAAATACACCCATCATCAGTGCTATCATTAGTTTACCCAATGTGGATGTACTCCAAGACAACTGAAGCTATGCAGGAATTTCTGGGGCAGCAAGTAAGCTAGCATGGTAGAAGGGAACACCTGGACAGGAGATTTTGCATGTACCAGTGGGGCTCAGGGGGTTGAATCGGATTCTCACAGGTTCCCTTAAGGACTGTTGAACACCCTGTCCCTCTGGGCAGGTGCTAAGGACAGGGGTCATGGCCATGGAAAGTACCTGCAGAAAGGTTTTCCTACCTTGCAGATCCCTTCCTTAGGCTTCTGTGCTCCATAGGAAGGGACTATTCCCAAGAAGTTTCCCACCCCGTTTAACCCTGCAGCTTCCTGGGACCTCTCTCCCTTCTTGGGAAGATATCCATAGGTAGCACATGGCTGCCCAAAGCCCAGGAAACATCTGCCTGTGCCATTCATTCTCCTGTCAATCTACAAACCATTGTTCTTTGGAGAATCCCATGTACATATGAACTTGCAAGAAAAGGGTCAAACAGAGGGTGGGGGGGGGAAGGTATATTTCTAGAACATCCTGGCACTCCTGAAAGAAGCTGGTTTTCACCAGCCCCGGTGAGGAACTCCATCTCACACAGCTTAGAAGAGGAGTGGATTTACATTCAGATCATATTAGCTTGTGGTCAGCTCTGCAGTGGCCCAGGGGTTATTAGAGTTGGAGAATATTGCAAAGTAAAGAGGAAGAGAAACTCAAAAACCTGAGCTTGGCATGGGTGGTTCACACCTACAATTCTAGCTGAAGCTGAGATCTGAGAATCATGGTTTAATGTCATCTAGGGCAGAAAAGTTCATGAAACTTTTTTTTTTTTTAACATTTTAACTTTTGGTTGTGGGGCATGAACTCAGGGCCTAGGTGCTGTCCCTGAGCTTTTCTACTCAAGGATAGCATTCTACTTCCCTCACTCTGAGCCACAGCACCACTTCTGGTTTTCTGGTGGTGAACTGGAGGTAGGAGTCTCAAGGGAACTCTCCTGCCTGGGCTGGCTTTGGACCATGGTCCTCAGATCTCAGTCTCTTGAGTAGCTAGGATTACAGGTGTGAGCCACCCATGAAACTCTTATCTCCAATTAACCACCCAAAAGCTAGAAGTGAAGCTGCAGATCAAGTGGTCGAGTGCTAGCCTTGAACAAAAAAAGTTAAAGGAGAGTGCCCAGGTCCTGAGTTCAAGCCCCAGTATTGACCAGTTGTGTTCTTCCCTTGGTGGCTCACATTCAGAGGGGTTAGTGCTGGCTCTCCAGCTACTGGTATCTATTGCTAGGACTTCATTACATCCCTGGGTCAGGTCCGTGATGGTCCTCCTTCTTAATGCCTCAGTATCCCTATATTTAAAAAAGAAGTGGGGTGGGGGTTAAAACATCCCTCCTACTGAATTCCATAAAGTCAGAGGTGAAATGTCCATGGACTGCCTGGCCTAGGCCCTGCTACGGTGGCCTGTACTCACAACTGAAAGTGTGGAAGGGCACCCGGGAGGGATCCAGCGCCCCTCCACCCCCCCACGCCCCCCCACTTTGTCTCTGCCAACCAAAGCACCACGTGGTTTCTGAAAGGGATTTCAAGTGGCTTCAGGATCTCTTCCTCCTGTCATCCGCCTCCGCAGGCCCTAGTGGCCGGGGCCAGGGCCTGCGCGCTAGTTCCGCACAACCTTGTACTCCTTGGGAGCCCAGAGGAGGCGCGGGTGGCGGATCTCAGACCGCCATCCGATGGCGGGGGCCCAGCAGAACTCGGGCGACAGCACCTTGGCGGGTTTGTGCAGCCAGAAGAACTTGTTGAGGTGGCTCTCGTCGTGCCAGCGCGCCTCCAGGCCGCGCGCGCGGTCGCGCAGCTGGCTCCGCGCGCAGTGCGCCGTCAGCCCGCGCAGCGCCGCCACACTGCCCCCGAACACGGCCGCGTGGTAGTAGAAGTCGCCCTGCTCCGACGACAGTGCCGCCTCCGACCGCGTGTCGCGCTCGTAGGGCAGGAACCAGCGCGGCCAGTGGTAGTGCCAGGCGTGCAGCTGCGCCACCAGGTCGGCCAGTGTCTCGGGCCCGAAGGCGCTGCTGAAGTGCTGGTCCACATCCATGCAGAACACGAAGTGCGCCTCGCGGCCCAGGCGCCCGCCCAGAGCCTCGTGCAGCGTGCGCATGCGCGCCATGGACACGTCCTGCCAGCGCGGCTCCCGCGTCACGTGTTCCACACGCAGCCAACGGTCCGTGCCCAGTGTCACGTGGGGCACGGCTTCCGGTCGCTCAGTAAACACGTAGTACACCACGCGCTGGCCCACCATGAAGTGCTGCTCGGCTGATTCCAGGAAGCGCGCCAGGTACTTCTCCAAGTACCTATGGGATGGGGAGTCATCCTGGGCTGGGCACCTTGCTCCCTCCTGTCCCTCTTCCCCCCACACACACTCTTACCATGTCTGTTGTGGGGGGCGGGGGAGGTGTCCCAGTCCTGCCCACACCAATTCTGGCAACTTCAGACCCATTCCTGGAATTTCTCAACCTTGGGGGTGGCCTCCCCTTAATGGGAAGGCCCCAGGTTGTTTGCTCTGAAGGGGTGGGGGTGCTGCTCTGTTCCTTCGTTGACTGGTTTTCTCCTGACTAGTACCAAGGAAGTGAGGATGGGTTGACCTCAGGGGATTGGCAGCATCTACCGCTTTTAATCTTTTAAGCAGTTGTATAAAGTTGTACAAAGCAGTTCCTGAATACAGTGCATCTCGATCAATGTAGGCCCCTTTAACAGTATCACCCATTCCTCCCACCCTACCCCTTCCCTCACTTGGGTCTACTTCTTTTGCACTCTTTGTGTCAAAGGGTTCAGCTCTTGATGCTGCCATGATGGAAGGAAGCCCAAGCAGCTTCATAGAAAGCCCACATGAAGGGTGGGGTCCTACTTGTCTTCAGCTGCTAGTGTCCCAGTGGAGAATCAAACATTTGGTAGCAGTGAACAACTTTGCCCCAAGTGAGCCCCTGTCTGAATCCTCTGCTCATAAATCACGAGCTACAAGAATAATCTGTTGTCTTAAGTCACTGACTGTGGCCATTCCTGACAGCAGGGGTACTTGTAATACTGTACAGGTAGTATCCCTAGATAACTTGAGATACTAGAATTTAAAGTAATGGTAATACTACCAAATATATTTTAAAGTATTTATCAAGTGGAAGACACTTCTGAGTCAATGAGCATTATTCTTTTCAAGAGTTCAAGGTGAGGGGGTTGGCTCTAGTGGTAGAGTGCTTGCTTAGTATGCATGAGTTCCTGAGTTCCATCTCTGATACCACAATAAATAAAATACTCCTAGTAACTTGTATAAGTGTACACAATTGGTACATGGTAGAACAGGGATATGAGCCTAGCTTGATACTGGAACCTGAGCTTTCACTTGCACTGGTTTTATCCTTGGTAGAAATGTTTTGGAAACTGGAATCAGACATCTTGGAAGTCTCAAAATCCCAGGAACTAGGACTTTGGGACCCTAGAATTTCAGTTCCTTCATATTCTGGCCCTAGGATTAGTGTGCCAGGGCACTCTGCTCAGCCTCCTTAATGGAGAGGCCCAAGGAGAGGCCAAGGTCCTAAATGGTACAGCAGTTCTGCTCACCTGCTCCATGGGTCACCCCTAGGTCCTGTTTACCATCTTGTCTCAGTGGCCACACAGGCTTTCTCCCCCTTCTAGAGTGTAATAGAGTCAGAGGAGGATCCCAGAGCAGCTAGCTGTCTGGTAACAGAATTCTTAACTTTTATTTAGGCTGTCAGTTCCTGGAAGAGTAACTCACGTCTTCCACAGTAGCCTGTCCCAGTACCACAAATGTTCCCCTGGACTTGGCCTCTCTTGTGTCTCATGGGCTTAGTTGCCACCCTCAGTCAGGAAGCATCTATTTTTTTTAATCATTTCTGAAAGGTATACACTGGTCTTAGACCCCCTCCCATCTACAATGGGAAGTCAGTACCTTTTCCATCTATCATGGTTCACCCACCACACTTGCAGGGGTCTGTCCGCTACCTGGGTCCCTGTTCTTTCCCTGACCTCTACCTGCAGTGATTCTACCCCACACCCTCACTCACCTGCTTCTGTGACTACTCCCGACTTGTTTGTCATCTGCATTCCAGTTCCAGACTACACTGTGAGGCCCCAGGGTGAGGCCCTGGTTCTTCTACCTCTGATTCCTACACTCCTCCAAAGTCTGATTCTCCAAGCCCTCTTATCTGGTGACCTTGCCACTCCTCAGTCACTCCTCTGTCACCCCTCTTCTCTACTTCTCTCCTCCATCAGGCTGTGATTCTGCAATTGAGCCACTGACCTCCATCAGGTACCTTGCTCCCTCTGTTGCTCTCCTTTCTTCTCTCCACTCACCTGAAAGACTCCATCATTTCCTCACCACAAACCCAGTATCTCCATGTAGACCAGCTCTAGCTCTTAGACAGGGTCCTTCTAGGACACAGTTCTAAGCACCTGGCCATGTGTGGTAGGTGGGTTCTGTGTGTTGCTTTCCAGGGAGGAGACGAGGGGAGATCTCTGGGTGTAGCTCCTAGTTGTACTTTAGAACCCCCTTGCAGAGGAGCCAGGCTCAAGACATCCTTATACACATGCACCCCCATCCCACTCCCTATTTGGACAGCACTGCTTCCCTTGCCAGGCCTTACCTGCCTATAGCAAAGACAGTCAGCCCAATGGTGAGGTTCTGCCTTCTAGCCTCTTGCTGGGCTACATCTGGGTCAAAGGTGCCATCCCAAATAATAGGAGCGCCCCAGGAGGTACAGGTCAGAACTTCAGGCCGAGCCCTGGACAGGGCAGGAATGGGAAGCACAATTGCATTCACCTACCTGCTTGATATATGCACAGTCATCTCCCCAGGCTGGGCCCTTAAAAGCCTCTAGGTCAGAACCCACCCGGACAGAGGATTGTGATCAATGGGGCCTCTTGGGTTGGCAAGTGGAGCACTTAGGTGGGGATAAGAGGAAGGCAGGGCCTGGGCATAGGTAGGTTTGTGGCCATTCTGAGAGGGATGATAGCTCCTTACCAGGGACGCAGGACACCTGTGAAGTTGTCTTTCAGCAGGGGCATTATGGCTGAAGGGCAGACACCCATGGGGATGAAGGTTTCCAGATACCTGTGGGGCAGGGGAGCAGAAAGGGGCATGTCACCTGCTCAGGAGCAGAAGCCCACAGGGATCCTTGCCCATGGTGAGCCAACCTCCACCCTCTATCCCTGGGCCCTGGTGGTCCCACTTCAGGTGCTGGGGGAAAAGGGTTATACCTGACCACAGGCAACCCATACAGGAACAGGCCTATGAGACCTGCAGGTAACATCAGCCGCCAGAAGAGTCTCTTCCTTGCCCTGGGGGGAAAGGGCATCAACAACTCATTTATATACTTGCATACACAGGGGAAATCACTGATTTTTAATGCTTCCTTTTATTGATTGATGTTTGAGTATGGACTTGTCAACAGGCAAAGGGATGTGTCAAGAGTCCATCCTTGTCCTCTGCATGGAAGTGGCCAGGGTTACGTTTCTTCCACATCCTTCCAGAGGAGGTCTGGGTATAGGCAAATGCACCCAAATTAAGTAGGCAGCACTCACTCTTCCTCTATTTCCCTACAGACAGCACAGTGGACATTTTGTTTTGTACCTTGTAGGTTTACTCATTTTTGAGGTAATATATTCCATCTGAACTGAAAAGCTTTTTTTTTTGTAAGTGCTGGACTACAAAATGCTGGGACTCACAAATACTAAGTAAGCTCTCTACCACTGAGCTATATAGATCTCAAGCCTCATCTCATTACTTAGAGAACCTCACACCTGGGTTGGGTATGGTAGTTCATGCCTATAACCCCAGCAGCTACTTGAGAGGTGGAGGTATGATGATTGAGTCCCAGGGACCGGCTGGGGAAAGCTTGATTTTATCTGAAAATCAAACTACAAGCAAAAAGATTGCAGTATGACTCAAGTGGTAGAGTGTGTGCCTGCTGAGCTTTAATCTCTAGCAACACAGGGTGAAGAAGAGGAGGAGGAGGAGGAAGGGGTGGAGAAGGAGAAGGTGAAGGAGGAAGAGGGGAGGAAGAAGAGGGAAGAAGGAAGAGGAAGAAAGAAGGAAGGAGGAGAAGGAGGAGGAGGAGGAAGGAGAAGAGGAAGAAAGGGAAGAGAGAGAAGAAGAAAAAGGAAGGAGGATAAGAAGAAAGGAGAAGGAGAAGGAAGAAAAAAATACACTTGGACATGATAAATTATACAGGACTGTAGACATTCACAGAGACCAGAGGAGAATATTCTTAGGAAAGGATCACAAAGGCTCAATAGCTATGTGCATATAATCATATAAAATGATATTTATTGAATGAACTCCAAAAAATGGAAACGAGGGTTTTTTATATATTGCTTTTTTGAGGGTTTTTTTTTGCAGGGGGCAGGGGTTCCTCCTTTGTCACTGTTTTTGATTTCTGTACTTTTGACTTGTATGTAAGTTTATCTGGTTTGGGGAGAGTTAATGGTGGGACAAAGAGTGAACAAATGCAGCAGTGATACTAGACCTATGTTAAAAATGAACTATACAACTGTGGAGGAGGGAGGTCAGGAAAAAGAAAAAGAAGAGGGTGAGGAGGATGAGGAGGAGGAAGGAAAAAGAAGAAATAAGAAGATGAATCTCAGCTAGGCACCTGTGGCTCACACCTGTAATCCTAGCTACTCAGGAAGCTGAAATCTGAGAATCAGGGTTCAAAGCCAGCCTGGACAGGAAGGTCCATGAGACTCCTAACTCCCAATTAACCACCAAAAAACTAGAAGTGGTGCTGTGGCTCAAGTGGTAGAGCACTTGCCTTGAGCTGAAGAGCTCAGGGACAGTGCCCAGGCCTAGAGTTCAAGCCCCATGACTGACAAAAAGAGAGAGAAAAGAAGAAGTGAATCTCCCATCCTTTTGCCCAGTCACCTCATATGCCTTGGGTTAGAGAGCCTATTCTACCTCACCAGGGTTGTGAGGAGCCCTGATTCACACTTTCCTTGGGCTAGCAGTTTTGCAGGCATGACCTGGGCAGGCTTGGATGATAGGAATATTATTTGGGGTTGGGGCACTTAGTCAGGGTGGGGATAAGACTGATATTGGTCAGGAGCGTCTTCTTCCCTGGACACAGGAATTCATGGCTTGGTGGCTAGAAGTAAAGAGAGCTGTCTAGGACGTAGAGCTGAGTTCCTGGACTGACTATGGTCAAAGATCACATCTTTTCCAACCCAGTCCAGCCTGGATTGAACTTCCTTCCCCACAGCTCAGTCCTGGCTAGAGGAGGTGGATACTGGAATTTGCCCATTAGTTGCTCTTCCAGGAAGGAATCAAATCCTGAAAATTTTCTGGAGACCCAAGGTAAGGAGCACAAACACTGGGACCTGGTCCGCAGGTTCGAATACCAGCTCCACCACTTACTAGTTCTCTGCACTTGGGCAAGGTCTGCTGCATGCCAGTCTCCTCCCCCGTAAGGTGGCCTTGTTTGTTACCCACCATCTTACCAAATCCCATCTGCAGAGGGCTGCCCTGGACTTGGGTAAACGTAGCTAAGCTAGACATTGAACACTATAATCTTCCAGACTGCATCTCCAGGTCTCTGAAGAAGGCATCAGACACTCCTACCTTAGCCTTTCTTTATTGTCACTCAACTGCTGTGCACCATACATGTCTAGGACAATCTCTGAGGACCACCTTGGAGTCTGGTGTGAACATGTGTTGGGAGCTGACAGTATAGTTTAACGGTCATCTTGATCCTGGTGCTCACTTGAAGGCAAGTACAAGGAACTGGCTTACTTAAAAAACACCAGGTGCCCAGAATTGCTTTGCTATGTCTGCAGAGTTTGTTTTACTTTCTACCAGTTGATCTTGTTTTTACTGCCCTTTGTTTTTACTAAAATTTTCCTTGTTTTTCTGGACTATTGTAACCTTGTTACCTCTTGACTTCTAATAGTATATATTAGGGAGAGTTAAAAATAAATGGTGCTAAAAAATAAATAAAATAAACGGTGCTGCAGTCTTGAGCTGCAGACCTCCCGACCCCATCCTTTGTCTTATGTCTTTATTTTTCTGCCTCCTTGCCCCCTAATTCAGGATTCCCTTTCGTTGCAGGCAGGCTCCGGCAACTGGCGCCCGAACAGGGACCTGAAAACCTGGGATCAAGGCAGAGGACCCCGCTAAGGTAAGAAGACATCCAAAAAATAGTGGGAGAGATTATGGTCAGGAGTAAGAAATTATGGGGCAAGGTAACAGCCGCACACTATACGTGCAGGCTCTCAAGGGTATGCTTCATGCTCAAGGAGTGAAAGCTAGACAGAGTCAGTTAGAATGTTTCTTTCACTTTGTTGAGGAAGTATACCCCTGGTTCCTGGAGGAAGGAATCATTAGTTTAAAAACTTAGCCAAAAAAAAAAAAAAACAGGAAAAAAGGATTCAGGGACACTATGATGCAAATGGCCGGTAAGTTAAAACATTGCTGCTTTGTAATTGTCTGGTATCTGTGTAGCCTGCAGGTTCTGTATTGGGGTTGGCAAGAGTCTTGGCGGACGCGCTATAAGACAGCCAACTGGGCCAGTGGGAGACGTCCCCCGGATCCCCATCAGGGTAAACTGTGCAATAGTGCGGACATTTGGGCCCGTCTGTAGTCCGGCACTTTTCTGTCTGACAGTCTACATTGCACATGCTGTCAATGTGCTTTGTCTCAATGTTTGTGTGTATGTATTTTGGAATTCTTGGAATGTTTCTCCTCTCAGATTCATCCTGACGTGAGAGCCCGGAGGAGACTGGCTAACACCCCTCAATATCTGTTTCTCTCTAGCTCCTTTTTTACTTACATTTTAAACTGACCCCTCTTTCTACCCTTCACTGCCACCTCCTCCACCCTCTCTGGATCCAAAAGTAAGGGGGGGGGTAGGGAGTAAGAAACCTGGAGCATCTAACAACAACTTAAAAGGGCCAGCAGGGAGAACTCACAGCCGGATAAAACTGCTACTGACCACCTGCAAGTGACACCAATAAGATCTTAGCCTCGGGCCTTGGCCCAGGGGGTCTGAGCATGGGGGAAAACCTGTCAGCCGATAGGGACTTCTTTCCCTTGCCCCAAGATGCTAGGAGTTCTCCTCCACCTAAGAAGGCCCCTGGGTCAACGTTTGGAGGAATCTAAAAGAAAAATCCTCCGAAGGTGAGTAGAGGGAGTTCAAGTCCCCAGGTAAGTGGATTTGAGTCCCACTTGTGAATGGTGGTGAGATGTTGCCCCATTCACTGAGACCTGATTTTGTCTTTGTGGCCACTTGTTTGTCTTGTTTACTTCGGTGTGTTTTCTGTTATGTTTTCTGGGGTAGGGATCAACTGGGGGCCCATTAGCCCCCAACTCAGCCTTTGGTTGTCTTGTCTAGTTCAGTTTTAGAATTGGTACCAGTTTTAAATGTACGTACAACTGATTTTGATTTTTGCGCGCTTTAAGATCTATGTGTTTTGTATGTGTTTGTGAACATGTTTAAGATAAGAATTATCAGCATGCTGTAACAATTGGGTGAGTTTAAGTTTAAAATTCAAAAGGTTATGAGGTTTGGACATTACCAAAAATTTTAAAGAATTTTCACATTGTTTTAAATGACCTTTTAAGGATTCTTTAACTTAAAAAAAATCAAAAAATCTGGTATTTTAAAATGCATAAGGCTGTTTACACTGTAATCAAGTTATCTGGCTTAACAAAAATACATTGGCTGTTTGGAATTTAGTTCCCTTGGCTAAAATTTGGGGATAAATATTAGAAGTTTAAATATAAAAGTTTGTTTAACATTGTCAAAGACATTACCTGTTCTGTCTGTCTAAAACTGTGTATTTCATTCAAAAACCAAGAAATAAGAAAAGGAAAAAACTTAAAAGCCAAAAAAAGATCTATCTTTAGAGGTAAGGGGTAAACAGGCAAAAGTGCAGTTCAGCTGGTCATACATGGTGGGACGGGCCATGGGAGGAGTCCACGCATGGTGAAAGAGGACAAGCTGGCACAAACGCAGTTCATCTAACCCTAAAGAGTGAGATTAGGTGCGTGCCCATTCCATAGGAGGGGCCAAGTGGCCCAGCTTTGTTCTGTCCTTTTTCTCTACAGATAAATACTAGAAACATGATGGTAAAAATTAGTGATGTGATGATTTGATTAGTATTGCTAAAACTGGCCCTTGGACTTAAAAAGAGGACTTAAAAAAAGTTTTTGTATAATGTGACTTGCTTTCAATGATGTTCTACAATTAGGATATGTTTTTAAAAGTCATAAAGGTGTTAAGTTTAGCTTTTTGGTACAGTGATGGTGATTGTAATTCTTACAGTAAGGAAAAATTGTCATTTAAGTTTAAAAGTTTTAATGTGTATCTGTTTTAAAACAAGCAGCCAAGAGACAATGAGTGGCACTTGGCCTCAAGATTTTAAGGGATTTCTTTTTAAATATAACTAAAAACTAAAATAATAAAAGATTTACAGGAGGCTTAAAAAATTAGGAATGGATTTCTGGATATAAAGATTAAAAGTAAAATTGTTCTTAACATTTGCCTCAAAGTGGAAAAATCAGGATTACCAAATTAATTGTTTAATTGCTATTCCAGTTTGCTCTTAGAGGTTTTTTAAGTTTCCAGCAAGCCAAGAGCAAAGCACAGAGGATTCTTATAAATTTGTCAGACGTAACTTTGGCTCTTAATAAGTTTCAGGTAAGAGCATGCTTAAAAGCTACTTCTATGTTGACCACCTTGTTGCTTTTATTGGAGTAAAGTGGCCTTTTATAAGACTCATTGATCTACAAACTGGTTCAGAGCCAGCCTGGGCAAAAAAAAAGGTCTCTGTGAGACTGTCACCTCTACTTAGCCAGCAGAGTGCTAAAAGAGCTAGCAGAGTTGCTTTGGGACTCAAAGTGACAGAGTGCTAGCCTTGAGCTGTAAAGCTGAGGGACAGCACTCAGGCCCCATGTTCAAGTCCAGCGACCAGCTAAGGGAAATGCCAATGAGGCAATTATCCCAGTGTAGAGAAGACATTCCTGGGACAAGAGCAATGGAGGAGCATCCAGAGGCAGTAAGCCACTGCTTGGATGGCAGAAATGTCAGATCCTAGAGTCATTTGTGCGTGGCCCTTCAAAAATTGGTCAGAGCCAGGAGGTCATGAGAAGATAGTTTGTAAGCATGCCTAATGTCCATGACTATCTACCTTGCAGGGACAGACACTTGTCAGTAATCTGTAATAGTACTAAAAAGCTAAAGTTACAAAATGTGGGGGATGGTTTAAATCCCAACCCCTGTATGTGCCAAAAGCCCTAATTGGCAGTAACTTCTGAGCTAACTCCAGCCACATAAAATTTATCTGCTCAAGAAAAAAGGTTTGTAGGGCTGGGAAGTTGGCTCAGTGGTAGAGCGCTTGCCTTGCATGCATGAGGCCCTGGGTTCGATTCCTCAGCACCACATAAGCAAAAAGAAAAAAGCTGGAAGTGGCGCTGTAGCTCAAGTGGTTGAGCACTCGCCTTGAACTGAAGAGCTGAGGGACAGCACCCAGGCCCAGAGTTCAAGCCCCACGGCCGACCAAAAAAGAAAAAAATTAACCACCAGAAAACTGGAAGTGGCGCTATGGCTCAAGTAGTAGAGCACTCGCCTTGAGCTGAAGAGCTGAGGGACAGCGCCCAGGTCCAAAGTTCAAGCCCCATGACCGACAAAAAAAAGCAGCAGCAGCTCAGGGACAGTATCAGGCCCAGAGTTCAAGCCCCAGGACTGGCAAAAAAGAAAAAAAAGTATAAACTATAAGCCCTCTATCATCTTTATAATAACAATAAAAAATTTTAAATACTTGACTTATGAAGCAGTAACTCCTTTGTACAACACCTTAATAATTTAAAAAAATAAGCGTGAAGTCAGGTCCAGAGAGACAAAAGATACGTTTTCCCCTATATGTGGAAACTAGAGATAGCTTATAAACTTATAATACGTTGGGTGTATGCAAGTGTATATAATAAACATATTAACTGAAATATGGTAGATTCAAGGGAGAACTCAAATAGTGTAATTCCTTAGAAAGGCAAAATCAAAGTTCAGTAAAATAAGATGCCAGGAAATGGACACTTGAAAGGAGTGGGATGGGGTCAAGAGGAAAGGTAGATAAGAGGAGAAGGGAGGGAGAATGTAATCAAGAACCCAATATATATCCCATGAAATTGGTATGAAGGTGCAGCGGCAGTCCTGCTGGAGCAGAGGTAGAGCACAGGCAGGGAATACTGAGAGCCCAGGCTGCAGGGACCAACAAGACCAGGTCACAGGATATGCACTCCAGGCCTGGGAGCCTCAGATTTTATCTTAAGGATCAGTGGAGTCATTTTTATTTACTAAAGAAAACAAAACACTATTCGAAAGCAATCAGACTGGACAACAGAGCCTGCACTTGGTGGCCAGGAGGGTGGAAGATGAGTTCAAGGTCAGAGTACCAGCAGCAGGCATTACTGGGGATGTGAAAAGGGGTCCTGCATAAACACTTAACTGTAACTGAACAGTCTTTGCGACAGGTTTACCTGCCAGTGACTTCAAACACCTCTCCGTGGCTGCTTTCTCCCTTATTTCAAGGAAACACCCTTCTGGTGTCATCCTGTGATTTTCCTCCTTACAGCCAGGTGCTAGACACCCCCCCTCCCCCACACACACCATATATACCACACATACACATATCCAACACACACAACACACACCAGACACACACATGCACACAACACATATACATATCACACACACACAAACCACATGCACCCCACACACCAGACACACACCACATATATGCACATGTACACCACAAACCACACACATATGCCTGCTAGCCATGCAAAACACATACACACACCACACACACCACACACATGCCACACACACCACACACAAAACCATACCCATGTGCTACACATGTACATCCCACACACATTCACACACTATACAAACACACAGCATTTCCCACTTCCATGGCCAATCCTCTGCATTCACATCTACCCTCCCCCCACCATGCTTTCTGTGACACCCCTGACTTCCTGGAAAATTCCTTGTCGTCTCCCCCCCACCATCATTCACCCTCCTCCCACTCTGAAGTTTCCTAAGCTTCCTGCAATTTAGCGTCTCTCCATCTTTCTCCAGGCTATTTCCATCACCTGCCAGTCATTCCTTAATTCTCAACTCCCGGCCCCCCACTCCCACCAAGTATGCTCCTTTGTTACCTCAACAAACCTTCCCTCTAGCTCTTGCCAAACTACAAACTGTTCCTTTCCAGGAGTTTATTAGTTTGTAGTCTTGGCGCCAAATCCCAGAGCCTGCCCCCTCATTGGGGGTATCAATCATCCATTCAGAAGTGGATGAAGCCACGGATGGATGCTTTGTCTTCACTTTCTTTCCCAAGCCAGTACACCTTTGCTGAGCAAGTCTGTACTTATTAACAGTGGACATGGAGCAAACACTCGGCTACAGTCTTGCCTATTGCAGGTGGTGGAGGGTAGGGTTCTTACCTTGGGAACCCAGAGGGGCAGCTCAGAAAGGTTGAAGTCCTTGCTGTGGGTTACATGGCTGGTCGGTGGTGGGGCTGACTGTGGAGTGGGACCTCAAGGGTGGCACTGGGGCTCCACAGGACCAGGCCTAGTCCAAACCAGAGCTGCTCTCCCAAGGACCCATGGCCCCTCCAGGTGGCCTTGTGTTTTCAACCCCAGCGCACTCCAACCCCCTTGTAGCTGTGCTGTTCTGGCTCCCAGACTCCTGGGTGGGTCCTGGCGGTGGTACCAGAAGCTGGCAAGACTGCCATGCTACAGGGATAGGGAAAGGCCTCGGTGCCCTTAGCAGCTGTCCCCACCATCTTAGCTAGTCCCGCCCCCATCAAGCAGGTGTGGCTAGTGCAGCTTTATCTCATGCATATCTCAGGCTTACCTCCTGGAGGCACAGGCTGTAGCCGGGAAGAACTGACCCAGAGTACACAGGTGAAATCAACTGGCTGGGCTAGGAGGGGTGCTGGGGTGGGGCAGGACCCACCAGCAACTCTTGTTTCTCACCCCACCCGGCCCTGTCTGGAGTGATTACCCACAGAGGTGCCTGCCTAGCCCACTCTACATTCCTTGGTCAGGTATCTGCCACAGGACCGGTTCGTCCCCAGCTCCATCTGAAGGTGGATACTCAAGCCCCTCCCAACCCCTGCTCCCCCTCTCCATTTTCAGATGGGCTAGGAGGCACTCGCTTCCTGGTCTGGACAGTCAGTCCCAGTAGGGACAGGGAGCTGTTAGTGGTGAGCACCTCTGTGGCTGCTGTCTGCTGTGCGAAGGACGGAAGGAGAGGAGCTCCGAGGCAATTCACCCACCTCACAGCCTCCCGGGACAGCACCCTGCCCTGACCATGTAGCCCACGTGTATCGATCGTCTTGGAACCTTCTTCTCCCAGGCAGGATTTGTGACTCAGCTGATCCCTCTGGATCCCTTTCTACCTCCACCTCCCACCTGGTGGGGTCCCCTCTTACCTGAGTCTCTCCTTGATAGCCATAGGGAGAAGCCAGCTAGACACTCAGTATTGAACTTCCCCAGCTCAGAGCCAGGGAGGAAATGACCTGCTCTAGAGAACAACTGCTGGGACAAATGGCTCCTCCCAGACCCTCAGCCGCAGGAACCACACCCACAGATACAATCCGGGATGGTTCACCCAGGGAGGGACCTGCTCAGTGGTGGTGCTGAACAGAAGAAATTAGCTCCTGGATGCTTTCTCTACAAAAAGCCACAGGGGGCTGATCTTCTAGAAAAGGGTGGATTTCACAAGGCCAGTCCAGGTTGTTAGTAACTGAACTATTTGTACTGACTTCTTTCCTTCCCTATGATCCAGGAGCTCCTGCAGTGTCCAGTTCCTGAGTGGGCAGGGGCGCAGCAGGCTGCTCTGGTCCCAGAGAGGCATAGTTTTATGACAGCTCCCTTTAAAGCCAACAGCACTGGGCCCAATGACCTTGGGCAATTCACTTCTGTGGGTGCCCTTTACCTGATCAGTAAAGTGGAGTATATGCACCCATCACCCAGGGGGTGTCAGATAAGGTCAGGACTGGTGTTTTTTTTTGGGGGGGGGTCCGGTTGTGGGGCCTGAACTCTGGGCCTGAGCGCTGACCCTCAGCTCTTCAGCTCAAGGCTAGTGCTCTACC